ACATCTGCTCCTCTTGCTATCAGAGCACCCCTCCACAGTACCATAGAATCACAGAATCTCCCTCTAGATCATGTTGTTCACAGCCCCATCGAAGTCGGCCTTGAATGCTTCCAGGGTGTGGGCATTCATAGCATCACTGGGCAACTTGTTCCAGTGTCTCACCAGCTTTACAAAAGAGAATTTCTCCTTAATATCTAGTCTAAATTTACGCTCTTCCAGTTTAAAGCCATTTCCCCTCATGCTGTTGCTACATGCTCTTCTAGAATGTCCCTCCCCAGCTTTCCTGCAGTCCCCCTTCAGGTACTGGAAGGCCGTTAGAAGGTCCCCTCAAAGACTTTTCCAGTTTGAAGAGCCCCAGCTCTCTCAGCCTGTCCTCACAGGGGAAGTGCTCCAGCCCTCTGACCATCTTCATGGCCATTCTCAGGACCACTCCAACAGCTCGATGTCCTTCTTAGGGCCCCAGAACTGGATGCTGTACTCCAGGTGGGGTCTCACGAGAGCAAAATAGAGAGGTAGAATCACCTCCGTTGACTTTCTGGTCACACTTCTCTTGATGCAACCCAGGACATCATTGGCCTTCTTGGCTGCAAGTGCACACTGTCTGCTCATACTTAATCTCTCATCATTTTATTGCAACACAAACCAGAGAGATTCATTCATTAGCACGAAAGCCTTCTGGTAAAAAAAAATCTCACAACTTTTACACTTGTAGTTAGAAATAACGGTAATTGCTTGGGTGATTTTTCCCACAACACCTCTCAGCAAAACACAATTCACAAGAGAAAGAAATACTATCTAGTATTTCAGACAGTTTTAACATTAAGAACGTTTGGAGAAGAAGTACCTTTTAATTAATCTTTTAATGAGACTAGTCAAGCACTGATTAAAGGAAATAAGGAATGGAAAGGAAAAGGCAACAGATTAATTTAATATGCATTTCACATCTTGGGTCTAGGAATGGACTGTCATCCTTGCAATTCCAGAACTCTGATATGATCTAATAAAGGATGCTCCCCAAGCCTCAGACAGTAGTAGTTTCTGACAGTTATTGTATTACTCACATTGGTCATTGAAAATTTCTTTCTCTTTTTTTTTTTCTTTTTTTCTTGGAGATATCTGTAAATGATGAAAAAACAAGCCTCTGAAGTAAACAGGATAGCGTGAATTGCAATTTTCAGAATGATTGACTTACTGATACTTTTTGTTGAGGAGGGTTGTTTCATCTTGGGAAAAGTAAATTCACAACAGGCAAATTATAAAATTAATGTTGTATTATACAGCTTGCTTAATGCATGTGCATACTGAAATGACTAATGGCCTGTTAAGTGTTCGTTATCTTTCTCATAATTCATTATCTGTAACTCTTCTTCTGCAGTAACAGTAGCACATGACACTGACACTGTAAGCAGTTCTGCATATACCCAGACACAGATACAGAGAGGGAGACTGGTGGCTGGAGAGCATCTTAGTAAGAAGGGAGTAGGAGGGCTGGTGACATCAAGCTAAACACAAGCCAGCAGTGTGCCTTAGCAGCCAAGTGGGCAATCAGTATTTTGGATGCATTAAATACATGTTAGCCATTTGATCAAAAGAGGGAACTCTCCTGCTATAATTAGCACTGGTGGTGCCTCTCCTTGAGTACTCTGTGCAGTTCTGGGCTGGACAATGTGCAAGATGTCAGAGTACTTGAAAATGTTCAGAGGATGACAGCAAATCTGATGGGATATCTGGTAGGAGTATCCTGTGAGGAGAGGCTGAGGACATATGTGTTGTCCAGTCAAACCAAGAGTGATCTCATTGCTCTCTACAACCTTCTGAAGAAGGGGAGAGAGAGGCAATGATCTCTTCTTCCTAATAGCCAAGAGCAGGACACTTGAAACAGCACCAGGGAGGGTTCAAGCAGGACACTGGGAAACATTTATTTACTGAAAGTGTGGTAAAAAACTGGAACTAGCTTTCTAGAGAGCTGGTTGATGCCTGGTATCTGTCACTGGCCAAGGGGAATTTGGAGAATGCCCTCAATAATGTGCTTTAACTTTTAGTTAGCCCTGAAGTGGTCTGTCTGTTGGACTTCATGGTCTTTGAAGATCCCTTCCAAGTGAACTACTTCTACTCTACTCTACTCTACCCTACCCTACCCTACCCTACCCTACCCTACCCTGTCCTGTCCTGTCCTGTCCTATCCTATCCTATCCTATCCTATCCTATCCTATCCTATCCTATCCTATCCTATCCTATCCTATCCTATCCTATCCTATTTGATTCCATTCCATTCCATTCCATTCCATTCCATTCCATTCCATCCCATTTCATTCCATCCCATCCCATTCCATCCCATTACATTGCATTACATTACATTGCATGTGGCAGGGGGGTTGGAGATTTGTGATCCTGGAGGTCCCTTCCAACCCTGGCCATTCTGTGATTGTGTGATTACCAATACTGTGCTGAAATTACTAGTCACACTTTTCCCTTCTGTTACTTAAATTTTCAAAGCTCTCTCATGGCAGAGACACCAATACAAAAACGTTAGAGGAGTATTGTATCATCTTTTCTTATGACCCATTATTCCAATTGACTGTGTAAAAAGATAATCTACATGCCTTTTCCTATCCAAAGATAAGCTGAATTCTTGACACTCAGTGTGAGTCTGCCTGTGAGGATGAGCATGAGCTGTATACAAGCAAAATTTCATTTTTTGCTTTTTCTGTTACCTGTGATGGGCAATAGAGAAGAAACAACTATCCTTTTTTCTCCCCTGTTTTATGCAGCAAGACCAAATATGTGCTTAAAATGTAGCATCTTCTCTAAAAACTGATGCCACAAAGCAGAAAACATATCAGACTTCTATCCTTTTGCTTGGATAAGGACTTGACTCTTTAAGACAAAGACAATATCCTCCTCTTGCAGTCCTGAGCTCATTCCTGAAAGGCGACCTGTGAGTTCTTTCCTTCCAAGAGTGAGCAGAGTGAGCAAAAAGTACCACAGAATCTGTTTCTCAATTGATCTGAGTTGCTGGTCCCATAGGATTTGGTTTAGTCTTCATCTCAGTATGACAGAATCATACTATTTTGCATTAAACAAAGAAGTTTTTAAGAAACAAAACAAAAAAAAAAAAAAAAAAAAAAAAAGGGATCTGCTCTCCAACAGATAGAGTCTAGGTTCACTTTTTGTGTATTATTAATATAAAACTGTGATCTCTAACAATAAATCTATTAGAAATATAAGCCAAGATAAAAGGTGTAATGTTCTGCCAATAAACTGATGCAATCTTCTCAGCCAAATATTGTCTAGGAATAAATAATACTCTTAGAAACTATGCTTAAAATGTAGAAAGTGGCTACTCATCATGAATGGCTTTTAAGCTTTCAGATTTATTTCACTAGTGAAGAGTATTTTGAGTACCTTGAAATGTCAGTCATTTGCTCCTCCCTTCCCCATCAGCCTCTCTGCAATAAGGCAAGAAAATGTCAGAGGACAAACTCTGCATCAGAACAGTTTTACTAGGGGGAAAAATGAAAATAATTGCCTGGATAGGATAATGATCATTTGGCAACAACTGACATGGGTACTTGAACAGCACAAAATCCATTACAGCAGCTTCTGCTGAAGGGCACACATCAGGCTGGAGAGAAGTCCTCACTGTATGCCCTATTTAAACAAAGGCTGAGCTGCGTGTTATCAGTGTTGTTCACAGGTTTTTTTTTTCTCAGATTAACAGATAGAACAATTGAATTGGAGAAAGTCTGAAAAAAACAATGACTGTTTCTCTGTCTTCTCCCACTTGGTCTCTTGCATTCTGCATGCTTCTAGAGATAACTTCTCACAGTGTCTCTGTGCTCTGGTTCATAAACAAGTATTCAGGTGCCAGAGGTTCACTCCTACATCTCTACCATCTGTGTAAGGCAGTCCAATCTGTTTCTCTGAGCTATAAGTGAGTTATTTTAACATATGTGGGCCTGACCCTCAGATCTTCCTTCTATCTAAAGATACCATGGTGTTATAGGCAAAATGCAAAGTGATTTGATTACTTGCATTGCTCTCCTCTCCCCTTGTCCTCAGTGAACAAAGCTAAAAGAAGGCTCTGTAAGGCAAAACCTAAAGAAACAGTGACAAAGTAAGTTCTACAAAGTCAGAACTCAGTGAAGTAATTATCTACCAGCTGTATAATTAAATTTCTTCTGCTGATTTTCTTCGGTAAGAAACAACTGCCACTTTGAACATAACCTGTACTATAAATAAGTACTTCAGTTAAAATATGATATAGGTGAATAAGTGTGTGTGTGGGAAGCGGGGGGGAAGCTGCTTACAAAATTAAAACTTCTTAAATTTTCCATAAACATAGCTTTTTTCTGTTCACACAAATAAAGTAGTAGATGATTACATAAATTTAATACTGATATTTTGGATAAGGTCAAAGGTATCAACAACTCTCAATGGTAAATTTTGGACTAAATTGCTCCTAATGTAAAAATCTACACAAGAAGTGTTACAGTTCAACCAGTTAGGTGTCAACATTCTGTTTTTTCATCATTATTACTCAAAACACTAAGACTAAGTTGTTAACATCAGACTCAAATTGCCATTGTAATTAATATAACTGTTAATACTTCCATTCCTTGGAAAGCTCCATGTGTCTTGACCACCATGCATTGTTACAGTGTCTAGACCAAGACTCTTTTAAGACTTCTCACTTCTCCTAGGCAATGCCAAGATGTTCGAGGATGATTCACGAGAAACTTTCAGGGCATGTGCAAGGACCCAGGAAACTGCAGAGATAATTTGGGGATTATTTATTGGAGAGGGAGAGGTATCCAAATGGGTGGAGGAATGGGCAAAAGTAACAAAGAGCTTTTTTTGACACACTCATATAAGAAGATGATCATGTGAAGCAGAGTAATTCTTAAGGAATATTTTACTCAAACCATGCATTGCAAGATCAATTGAATGGCTGTTATATTATAAAGACAAAGCATTGATCTGTTAGCAAAGATGGGAGTAGCTTGTTCATTCACAGAAAAAAGAAAAGGAAAACACAACACTAGGGAGTGTTGGCAAGGCTCTTAATTTCTCCCATATGTACCAAAAATGAATATTATATAAACTTTTCTTGAGCAGATTTGCAGAAAAGTGTGTAGAGATACTTATGAATGTTTAAGAATCAAAAAGCCAAAGTAGTTTAAAATTGCTAGCATTCCAAGGCTCAGGAAAGGGTTCCTCTAGGAAGATGAGGATAAGTTTTAAATACTAGATCTTTGTCAGACCTTCCAAGTGGTTTTAATTTTTCATGTCAAATAAAATTATCACATGTTCAATAAAATTCAGACCTAAATAATGGTTTTATTTTGGTTAGACTGTCATGCAGACATAATTAGCATGCAGACTTAGTACAGCAGAAATGAACCACATAAATATTTATTCAGAATGACAGAATTTAGTAGCAGTTTGACTCAGCCACTGAACAGACCTTAGCAAGTTCAAACTTATTTTCAAGACAGCAGTGAATTAGCTTCTCAGTCTTCAGAATCATCTCCTGCAAACCCAGTACAGGAAATTCCATCTGCCTTTTCCAGTCTGAATAGATTTCTTCCCTTGCCTGTATATAAAAAACAGTGCAACCTGAAATGAAAAAAATAAAAAATAAAAAGAGATGAAAAGCAATTCTGCAAACAATGAAACAGTAAACCTTTTAGCAGAGCTTAGCTCTATAAATGTCACAGCATACTTCAGCATATACTAACTTTCTGACATGCCACACACTGGATTAGTATTTCACATAGGTGTGCAGAGCAGTACTAAACAGAAAAAAAGAAATCACTAGTGATTGACTGATGAAATTTTAATGTCATTCATTTAAAATACATCACAACTGACCCATGCTCATTGTTTTAAATATAATGTACTACCTTGCTTTATAGAATCACAGAACTCTCTAGATTGGAATGATGTTCAAGGTCATCAAGTCCAAATGTCAATCCTGACCTACAGTCACTAAAATATATTCCATAGTGCCACATCCACGCGTTTCGGTGAGGTAACAAAACACATACTTCTCACATAAAGAAAAATGCTAGATTATGACTTTTTACAACTAGTCATCCCTATGATGTAGCTCTAGATTGTTGCATTTGCACTCATTCTAACAACTGTTAAGGCTGAAATCTTATGTTTACCTACTAATCTACTGCCATTGTGAAGCTTTTGGTCTAGAATCAGCAAGTGTGGAAAAACAGATAGCATGAAGTGTGAAAAAAAGACGAGAAATAATTAATGCAGATAGTAATCTTGGCTACTTTTACCACTAAGGACATTCAAAACAATATGCTTCCAATTTTTTAAGCAATGTGGAAGTATTGTCTGAACAGTTACTCATATCAGCTGTTCAATTTTGAACTGCAAAAAGCCACAGGAAAGAGATAAAAAATTCCATCTGTATGAAGCAACAGTTCCCTATATTCCCTTCACTGCATTACCTCTGTCTTTTTTCTTTTGCTTTATAACCTTTGGGAAATAGCAAGCAAAATTTCTCTATTTTCAGATTTTTGGCCCTCTTATCCTGATAAATTAGATATATTTATTTTACACAACCCCTCTTTGCTTACTGATGAACTTCCTCTTTAATGAGTACAAAACCTTTTTTTGAAAAGGAAAAGAAGTATTGCTATAAGCCATAGACTTAAACACTTTCAGTAGTCTTGCTTGATGCCTGAAAGACTTCTAGCTGTCAAAAAACATCCATTCCATGAAATTGCTCCTTGAATGTGAACTGTCAAGAACAAAAAGAAAGGTATATCTGGTCTGCAGGAAAGGTTATAGATATTATTTGTAACAGCATACAAAAGGCCAGGCTGGAAAACTCAAAACATTTTCTTTTAAGGAAAGTTGACTGTGAATGCAGTTTTATGTTCCACAACCCATGACTTTATCTGAACTCTTTATACTGCATACTCAAGACAGAGCAATGAGCATTTTAGGCTGCAAATTCACAACCTTTGTTTGCATATTCTCTTCCCTTCCCTTTGTGATACAAAGCCTATTAACTACATCCATGCTGTCAGTCCCAGACTGTGCTCTAAACTTCCCTCCATGGAAGGCTTATCATTTCAGGCATTGATCTATCCAGAAAGTCTCTCCAGATAGAAAGATTAGCCTTAGAAGCTGGAGCAGGATATTATTAAGGACTTAGAAATGTTTATGTCTTTGTATTTCTATTTCATTTTAATTTTTTTGCTTGATTTTAGGATACAAGGATTGAATAAGTTATTTTGTTTTCTCTACTCTGCTATTATTGGTCTAATAGAAGTTTAGCTTTAATCACAAGTGTTGCCTGCTTTGTACCATTGGACATTATGGATAAAATAACGATAACCATTACTAGAAGAAAAAGCAAGAACAAGACACATTTCACATAGAATTCAATGAACATGTCTAGATTATCTAGTTTTAAAAGCATTCAACAGTATTTTAAAAAAGCAATTTCAATATTAGTAAATCTAATAGCTGTGCTTCCTGCTATTAACTTTAATGTTTATTAGAGCAGAAGATAAAAACATGCTGAAGGCTGAAACAAAGCTTCATGAGAACAGTCATAGACTTCCTTGCTCTTTGCCTTAATTTTAGGTTACACAGAATGGATGCTAAATATGGCAAAACAATATGGCTCTGATGCTTTAAGAAGGGACTGAAAAACTTTGTGGAATCCATTTCTATCCTTATAATGAAAGGATAAAGTCAGTCAACAGAAAATCTGAGACAGATTATAACACTCGGATCATGAATTTCCCTCATCCCAATTCCACCATAACATCTTCATATGATTGAAAGACATTTGTGAGGTTACCACACCAATAATTATTTTCCTAAAGCAAAACTGAACAGTGGCCAACAACTAAATAGGAGAATTACTGCCTCCCATAAACTGAAAATGCCCAGTGTCCCGAGAGAAGTATTACCTCTATTACTTAATTGCATGTGAAACTCTGCTCATGGTTTCAAATTCTAGTAGCAAATGATAGGAAACTCCACAACACCATTTCTACACTTACTGCTCATTTCTTTCAAATACGTTATTTAGAATAAAGTTTGGTGTAGCTTTTAGTTAGCTGTTATAAATGCATTTCTCTACCCTCTAGAATCTTAAAATTTTCCTTTTTCCATCATTCAAACATTTCAAACACTAATGGCTGAAATTTAGTGTTTCTTGTCAATTAGAAAGCATTACATGAATTTATCCTATTAGCTCAAATTGCAGCTTAAATCTGCAACTTGCAGCTGTGAATGTAACAGGATGGGGTTTCCTACCCAGTCCTCATCCTCATTCTTCCTCAGCCATCTTCTCTGGGACGAAGAATGAAAACAGGCAAACAAACATTGCATTACCAATTCCTTAGTTAAGTTGTAAATGTTATGCTATGACAGAAACTTGCCCACACACACTGCAAGTCTACATGTCATGCATATTAGAAGTGGTCTGTTGAACTGAATTAGGAATTAGTTTCTTGAGTCTGTTTGTACTGAATGTTGGTAAATTACAACAGTTTTGTGTGTGGAATTTTATCTTTTTGTGTAGAACTTCCTTAGATTCCTGGAGTATGTTAGTGATCTCTACCTATAACTATCCTCTATTTTGACTGGGAGCACTTACCCAGGAGCGATAGCTATGTGTCAGCTGTGCCCAACATCACTGTTTCCTTCTGGCATAAAGAACACCCTCAAACCTGATATTCAGTGTATTGCAGTTCTGTTTTAAAATTGAAAAACTATCAAACATGCTGATAACAAAACTTTAATCCATGCTGGGATTATTTACACAGATAGGTAACTGAGGTGACCACACAGAAATCAGGGCATTTTTCATCCTACAGAACTCTCAGTAACAGTCATCTCAGTCAGCAGTTTCACACAGAAGGGAAAAAATGTAGTATGGCTGGACACACTTATTCCTCCAGAAGTAAACTCAACAGCAGGTCTCCACAAGACTGAATATTGAGTCGGACACCAGCCAATGGTACTTGGAAAGTCTGGAGTGATGTACCACCTTGCAACAGCATCCAAAACACCTAAAAGAGGATTTAGAGTAAAATATGCTACAGAACAGATAGCTCAGCTCACGGACAATCACCCATGGTCTGTGAGTGGTGGGAAGTGCCACTTTTACATGGTGACTAAACAGTTGTGTCAGGGCCTGGAGTTGCAATCCATGATTAATTTGCGGGCATGTGTTATTGCTGACAGTGGTGAAATTAGTGTTTGCTGGAAATCTGAAGGTAAATGGGTGCGTGCAGAATTTAGTGGATAGAAAAATCTGGCTTGTTGAAAGTTTTGTCACTGATCAAGGAGATTGAAATGAATAACTGTCAGAGGCCAGGTGGTATAAGCAAATGAGTTTGTACCTGAAAGTTGAGTTGTCGGATGTCTTCCACTGAATTGTTTCTACACTGGGTAGATGTCCCACTGTTTCCATTTTGTGTCTATGTGGCAGCAGATGGGAGACAACTCTTACACCTATCAAGAAGCGCAGCCGTTTTTCAGCCTGTCTCTATATTGTACATTAAGTCAAGACGCAAGTCATTGGCATGCAAATGATCTGATCAAGTAAATAGCGAATACATTTTCCATCTTGCTGTGGCAGAAGTATTTATCTTCTGATTCATGTTCCAATGCAGTAAAACCCGTGCAACTGATGGAAAACAACCTACATGCATTTGTGATCCAGTTCTGTCTCTCACTAAGCAGGGGCCCTTCAAGGCTGGTTGAGGCCAAACTTCCCTGACTGCAGATTACATTCTTTGCAGTGTTTGACCTGGGCAGATCAAACTGAGCAGCAGCACAGGGCTCTTGTCTCAGTATCTCTTTCTTAGGATGGAACTGGACGTGGTCTCACAACCAAAAGCTACCAACCTGTAGTTGACTTTCGGGAAGGTTGCTCACCATCCAAACCCAGACAGTCACCATGTGTGATGGGATAATGACACTCAGCCATCCCCAAAAGCAGCTGCAGAAGTTATCTCTGTCTGTAAAGTGTCCTGAGACTCTTGATTGCTTCTTCTGTGCAAACCTGCTGGATAAACACATTGGAGCTGGAATACATGCACATGTGTGGGATTGCTCAACTCTACAGCACAATGTATATATTAAATGAAGCAATAAGTAGAGCAATAACATAGTAATAATATATAATATAATATAATATAATATAATATAATATAATATAATATAATATAATATAATATAAGTAAACAATAATTTCTCCTCAAAAAGAGTGGCCAGACACTAGAACAGGTTGCTCAGGGAAGTGCTTTGGGCATAGGAAACTATACAATGAAAGATTTCAGAACTTCTAGATTTGTGTCTGTGAAAATATTAAAATTAATTTATTCATCTTCCCTAAGTAAAGTCATTTTTTGCCTTTTGAGCACAAATGCCACTATTTTGGTATATTCAAACAACTTTTCCTTCAGTAGTATTTTTAATTTTAAAATTCTTACAAAGAGACAAGACTATTCCAAAGTGGAGAGCTTGTTGTGTGAATACTCCATGCATGTACGTTTCACTTTATAGAATATTTCTTCACCTCACTCCATCATCTCATAGATATGAGCACACGAAGTCCTAATTTGCTCTAGGGACAATGATAATTTCATTTCTGTCTATAAATTTTTGGGAAGTTCAGAACCTCTGGTTAAACAGCCATCTAGAAAGGTGAAAGAATGTAGCACTGACACTACTGCATGGCCAATATAAATTTCTTTCCCTTGTAATGAGCTAATAAACAAAAGAAGGGTAAATGCTCAAATGACTGTCTGTAACAATTATGCATACATTTTTATGATTTTTTTTAAATTTTTTTTTAATTTTTAGTATTTAAATTGAGAACTGTATTCAAACAGCAAAGAGAACAGGATAGCAGAAAGGAATTAAAAGCTTAGGGCAACTAAAACTCCTGACTCATGTAGCAGCACCTTGGCTTTGTGTGAGGCTAGCAAAAAAAATGAGGTCTAGATTGGAGCAGATTTGGAACTGTTACAGCCTGGTAGCACTTTTTTTCATCTTTTCATACCACAGAGGCAACTGCATTGTTCTAGCATGGATTATACAGTTTTCTTCATAGCTGCATGCTCTCCTTTATGTATAAGAACATAGAATGAGCAAAAAAAATTCTTTCCAACGATTATAATGACAAACATGGAAAGCTTTTCTTTTACCAAACTCCTGTGAAGAACACTAGGCATCAGGAAAATCCTGTGTTCTCTTCTTAAATCACTGGCACTTTACATAAGTAACATATCAAAAATTGTTAGGCATGTTTAACTTGATCTGCTGTTGAACTTTTGAAGGTAGAAAATGTAATAGGAATTCTTTTACTCCAAAGGTGCTATTCATTACAAATTACATTACAAAGCTTGATTTCATTCTATAAATATTCAACTCCAAGCAGCTAAATGCAGAATTTTAAAAAACATTCTTACTTCAGACCTTGAAATATCTGAAATCTAAATGTTAGAGAGGCAATTCTCAACATCCATTTTTCAAATTGTAACATTCATATTTCACCATAGTAAGGCAAAAGACTAGATTCAGTGGGCCAGGACTTTTCTATAACTACCTAAATTCTTGCTTAAAGTTACTGTGCATCATCCTCAGAAAATCTTTTGCTCTCTCCATCCCCGATTCTTTCAAGACTGCACTGGACATAGCCTCCAGCAGCTTGGTATCATATCGTGGCTGCTCCTGCTCCTGGAGTTTGGACTAAGGACTTCTTGGGGTCCCTTCTCACTTGAATTATTCTATGATACCAGATGCACAACTTCAGATTAAGCATTCCAACCAAAGGGAGAGACTAAATCCAGGTTAACAGAAGCCAGCTTCAACCACATAGATTGTGTTTTGGAGTCAAATCTGATTACTTTGGGAGCAGAGGAACTTGAATGCACAGATCAGACCTGCAGAAGGAGGCTTCTCAGCAAGGTCAAGGTGTCAGGATCACATAGCATTTCTGAAGTAGCATCATCAGGTTACGTATCCTGTATTGCAAATTCGCTAGTGAACTGAGCCCACAAGAGTAAAATAAAGATAAACAAACAAAAGGTTTTATATTTCTCAGAATTAATTCCTTCAATGCTTAGCATAGAAGATGAATAGTGTGCCCATGTTGGTTTCTCAGATATATCAGTTTCTTTCAGGAATGTTTCTCTTTCAAGATTTATGGCTATAGGAATGTCCACAATTAGACTTTTATGAACCACATGCATTTGCCTCTAAAGTCTTTTTGTTCTGAAAAGTGGGGAAATGTGTCTCCATACATGATCTTAATTGACCTGCTTCTCATTTCAAGGGACAGATACTAACAAATGAGGTCAGTTCACCTCATTTTGTTATCACAGAAACAAAGTAAGTGCTACAATGAGCTTTCTAAGTGGATAAAGAAGCTAAAACTCTGTAATGATCGGTATACTTACACTCTTGGTTATATTTCTTCCCCCGTGTATAATCAAAAAGGAAAAATAGTAGTTTTGTTCAGAAATCATCAGTCCATTTAAGTGGCCAATGGTACATACACACAAAATGTATTTTGCATTTAAATACTCCTTTTTTCAAATTGAACTTAGCCATTGTTTGGCTGGTCAACACATTATAATAAACAATCTGTTTTTTACTAACTAACAAAAAAAATCATGTCACATTACAATGCTTCCGCCCAGTTTACCCAAGGAAAATGAATTATGAATAATCAACTTCAAGGTCCCAAGGAGTAGCTGGAAGAGATCAATGTTAGGTAAGACAAACTATGATATTAAATCCACAGTATATGATTCAACATATTCGTCCACTCTACTTACTCTATTTCTATCCTTCTATACTTCTATATTATTCTATTTTATATAGGCAACTGTATAGAAAAAAATTCAAATCTTCAAATTATCTTTTCAAGTCAGTTTATAATGCAGGAAAGAGGGAAAAGGGGAGAATCCGGAGAAGTTAAATGGATCATTTAATTGTACTATAGCACTGGGATTAATAAAAAACAGGAGGAGTAGCAGCCTAACTCACCTCCCAAGGAGGTACACTCATTGATTCTTCTTCCTGAGGTGATGTTCCACAGTTAAAATCATGTGTTCTATCTTAAGTCATATCTTTCATGCTTCAATTGGAGACAGGGCTAAAATTTCAGTGCAGAAAAAGACCTTTGGCTGCTGGATGCTTCTGGCTCTGTTGATCTAGGAGCACAAAAGAGTATACAATTAAAGGGAGGAACTCTAAAAGTGTAGCGATGGGATAAGGGATAATGTTTTTAAACTAAAAGAGGGGAGATTTAGATTGGATATTTAGAAGAAATTTTTTACTCAAATACTAATGCAGCACTGAAACCAGAGAATCTGAACCCCATCCCTGGGGGTGCTCAAGGCCAGGTTGGATGGGTCCCTAGGCAGCCTGGTCTAGTGGAATGTGTCTCTACTCATAGTAGGGGCTTGCAACAGAGTGGTCTTGAAAAATCCCTATAAACTCAAACAGTTCTATGATTCTGTGTAACTCATGCATATGTGAACATAGGAGTAAACCAGCCTCTGCATCAATTGTATGTAGAGCCATTTTCAGATAGGAAAGTGGAGAGTCAGGAAGTTAAAATAGCTTTTGAAACAAAATATAAAAAAATTGAAAGCATTTCATACAAGTAAAACTCTATTTTATCCATTCTACCACCAATTAAAATGGTAAAATAAGCTTTACATGCAAATTTGCATGTATCCATATCCATAATATTGTTCATTATTTCAGCAAGATTATGTATGTATAATCATACATTCTACATTTACAAGTAACCAGAAATGACATAAAAAAAACCTTGCAAAATAAATTCATGAGTGTGGGGAAGGAAGGAGAATCCTCTTTGCTAATAAGAGGTCCAAGGAGAAAAAAGAAAATAAAACCTTACCACGATTATTTTAGAGCATGGACATTTATTTGATCACTGTTTCAAAGTGTCTGCACAAAGAGGAGGAAATATCTGAGGCTCAAGGACTTTTCATTCTTCAAAGGACGATATAATAAGGTGCACTCTCTGAAACCAGTTACTCCCTCAGACAAATGACACAGTTGCCTGCTCACCAGATAAATAGAATTAGGTGGGCTGAAGGCACCCCCGCTGGGATCTTACTGAAAACACATTGAAGACTTATCAGCTCTCCCTCCAACAGCACCCCTTCTACCCTCCAATTATTTGCTTTTTGAGAGAGAATCTTCAGTTTCTGCAGTGTGAGGAAAAACCACAGTAATGAGGCAGATGTATTTTTGAAGTCCCAGCACAACTTGATAGCATTAAGGAGCTTGAGGAAATAAATACCAAAGTACCTCAGTAGATTTTACTGATGTGGAGGCTTAAGTGTGTAATTACAAACACACAGCAAACACCCATAGTCAAAGGAAGGGAAAAATGTCTCTGGACCAGCATTCTGGAAACGGCCTTGCAACATCCGCAGGAACAACAAAGTGTTTTTACTTGAAGTGGACCAAGTGAAGCAGAGCAAAAGCTGAACCCCACACAAAGCTTCCCCAGGTCATCTCCCTTATTGCCCTGAAGGTCATATTGCCATCATGGCTGGGGGATTAAACTGATCCATGTTTAATTGCTGTACTGTAAGACACGCTAAGCAATAAAATGAAGTTTTTATAAGCAAAAGACGTAGCTATTCAAACCTAGGAAATTCAAACCTAGCAGCATTTTAGCTATGGTCTCACCTTTGTGACAACTCTTTTTAATTTCAGTTTACAATGCACAGGACACCATTAAGGCGTGAATCACAGTGACTAGATTATTTTTACATTGCTAGAAATGAAAATAGAAATAGAAAAACAGTTTTAAAAGACAGTTGTCTTAATTCAGAGTAGACAGTTCTGATGCCAATCAGAAGAAAAAAAAAAAAAAGAAAAAAACCCCAAAAAAACAACCCACATTTACATGGGTATGTAATTTTAGAACTGAACATCTAGTATTCCGATTAAATTTTCTCTCCACTTTCAGTATGTCTATTGTCAACAGAGATAAACGAACAAATCTCTCCTCCCCTCTGCCTTCCTTCAATTTTGTGACTGAATGTAAAGACGGAAAAGAATAAATTTTGGTGGGATAGGGAGAACCAGAAAAATTGCAGACTGTGTTTCTTATAGATTTGATCATTCCTGTTGAAAATGCTATAGTTGGGCTTCTTTTTGGCAAGAAACCGATTCTGAAAACTTTTAGATCTTCTCCTTATCCTAACAAGAAGGTAATTCACAGCTTCTTTAGAATTTCTGTCATACTAACTTTGCAAATGTGGGTGGGCTCCAACCATTCTCTGCAGAAGAGTTCTTAGTTGCCTATTTGCTGCATTGGCCAATTGCAAATGTTAAGCAGGTGATATGACACCTGCAGTGTTATTTGTTTTGTTTGAAAATTATTTGCCTTGAGAAGTACTGTCTTTCTTTGTTACAGGAACTTTCTTACCATTCCCCTAACACTAAACATTCTTTATTTGTGTTATTTTCTGCCAGGAGCTGGACTACAGGTACGATATCACTCCTACGACCTTGTTTTGAAAGCCTATCCAGAAACCTGAAAAATAAAATAAGCCTGATGGTATCACTGGGCTTCTCTTTCCCACTTAGAAATACTAGTAAAGCATTGTTTCCCAAGTTGATCAGTCTGAAGAAAAAAAAATTCAGTAAGGCAGATATGTAACAAAATACACACAGTACCCGGAGTTTAAAGATTTAAGAGTCCCTTTCTCAAGTTTAGGAGTGTGGCGCTTAGAAGATCAAGTTTTCTTCTCTTGCCCTTCAGTATCACTACGTTATAGTCTTGGGGTCTGCTTTCAGTGCTGGTAGGTAGTGAAGTCTAAATTAAGTTGCCATTTACCAGGTGGTACGAGCATTTTTCATCTCAGTGACACTTTGCAAAGCTCCATTGCAGAAACTTTTCCTCACCATTAGGCATTCCTAGCATTTGTCATTTACCTTTGCAGCTTTCTGCTGTCTTCCACCACATATCATCCTTCCAGCAAACGGTCAATGCAACCTTCAGAACACTCACCGTCTTCACAGATACTGGCAAATATTTAATAGATATATCTGTCTTTCAGTTGTTGCTGCATTTTTCTTATTGTTGTTCTTACTCTGGTGGTGAAAAATAGGAAACTATTCCCATGCCCTTTTCTTCTCCCTGAAATATTAAAATTTGCACCACAAATCTGTAAGCCATTCATTTTCTTGAGTGTGCACGTATTCTGATGCCACCAGTTGCCTCAGTCTCCTTTACCTGGAGCTGCAAGCTTTCCAGTTTGTGAAATGCCTTCTATTTTAGAGAAACATTCTCTTGATCACAATGAAATCATTTGTAAAAATAAGCACAAACTAACCTTTCCTGTTGGCTTATTCACACACACTCCATTCAGTTTTCTGTGGGATATTGACCCAACCTTGCCTTGTAGCTTTTCTCTCTTCTAGCATACCTAAGGCAGAAAAAGGAACACCTAATTTCTTTTGATAGTGGTAAGAAGATAGTCTTGCAAAAGAACTTTGAAAAGTCTCTTGGGATATTATACTTAGATTACTTACTGGAGGAAGGAGCAGTGAGAGTCCTCAGTGGCTGCTTGCAGTATAAACTGAAGAAGAGCACCAAAAAGTGTTGTTGACTACAGGACTCAAAAGGAAGTCAGTATTTCACTTCCACATTTGGAGTACAAGTTTGCAGAAGCATCAAAATAGAAGGTAGAAGTTTTGGCAAGTCTGTTATCTACTTCTATTCACTCAGTTCCTCTTCTTATGTCAGTGCCACACTTAGAGTTACTCATCTTGTGATGAAAAAAGAGAGAAAAAATGCAAATATAACAGCGATATGATGTCCACATTGTGGGCTAACCTGTATCTGTCCACATGATTCCCCTCTAGCAAAATGTGAGAATAAAATAGGATGAAATATCTCATGGAGTCAAGATTAGGCACATGAATGTTAAAAACAAAACAAAACAAAAATCAACAAGGCTGTAGCTGGAAGAAAAGAGTAAAAATTGGGATTTATTTTCTTATTTTCATCAGCAAATTTTCATTTCCAGGAAGCAGGTCATCAGTGGTTGCTTCAGAGGACAGATTAACAACGAGTACCTCTTTTCCACCTTTTCTTAGTAAGCATGGCATCATGGTATGAGGCATATTCTTGTCCAGTTTGGGTCAGCTGTCCTGGTTCTGTCCTGTCCCAGCTCCTTGTGCACCCCAAGTTTACAATCATAGAATTGCAGAATCACCAATGTTTGAAAAGATCTCCAAGATCATATAGTCTAACCGTCCACCCATATTTGCCCACTATACCATGTCCTTTAGTGCAGCATCTAAACATTTCCTGAACACCTCCATGTTCGATAACTCCACCAAAGCCCCTGGGCAGCCAGTTGCATTGCCTGACAACTCATTCAGAGAAGAAATTTTTCCTTATATCCAACCTGAATCTTCTTGGTGCAACTTGAACTCTCATTCTGTTGATAGGAGCAGAGGCCAACTCCCACTTCGACACAACCTCCCTTCTGGGAGGTTGTAGGGAGCAATAAGGTCTTCCTGAGCCTCCTCTTCTCCAAACTAAATAAATCCCTATTCCCTCAGACATGTCCCATAAGACTTGTGCTCCAGACTCCTCAGCAGCTTCGTTTCCCTTCTCTGGACAAGCTCCAGGAACTCAGTATCTTTCTTATAGTGAGGGGTTCAAAAAGCTTCGTACTGGCAGGACAGAACAAAAACCAGGAAAGACCCTGACCTACTGTATAAGCACTGCTCAGCAACAACAAAAACAATGGTGTGTTATCAACATTATAAAACATATCTCCATACAGCTACTATGAATAAAGCTATGTCCATCTCAGCTGAAACTGAAGTATGTTACCACAGGGGCACCGTCAGCACTGCTGATGTGCTCAGCTTTTGCCAGCAGTGCATCCATTTCGGAGCTGATTGGACTTCACTCATACCTTCGTGGCAGCTGCTTCTCAGCTTTCTCACACAAGCCAACTCTATAGCCCCTCCTGTTGGCTGCTGCCAAACACTTGAGTCCAAATTCAATATATGGGAGTCTTGAGGGATAAATATGTGGAAAGAACTCAAAATTATCAGAAAACCTCTTATTAAAGCATGAAAGCATTAAGTGATCTCATTTCATGAGCTTATCTCCTGTAGAATTCAGTGAATATCTATCTGAAATCTGAAATTCCAGATATTTCCTGAATCTTTATATATTTACATCTCTTAAGAACAAAATGAACTCTTAAGAACAAATTGAAAAGATAAAAATGCCACACATTATCACATTATCAGGCCCTAGCTGACTCAAAGAGAAATATCCTCCATTTACAACACAAAAAGTTCCCTTGAACAAAAAATCTTTATCCACACAGAGGTAGTCAAATGCCAGTGTATGGTAAAACACATTCCACTATTTGCATAGGCTTAAAGAGAGATCACTGCACCTTGCAGGGTAGAGAAATACTGTGTAAAATCAATGCCTACAAACCGTGACTCAGTACCAATTTGTTTTCTGCTATTCTGAGCAGATTCTAAATATTGTAGAAAATAAGCAAGGTTCACAGGAAACGTGATCCTAAATTGTGATTGTATCTCTATGTTCCAAACAAATAAAATTGTTCCAATATAGGTTTATGATTCTTGAACAATACTACTGAAAGACACAGTAATAGCTTTGGCTCCAGCCACTACTAAATCTTGAGAAACTACTTTATAAAGCAATATTCTTCATTTCTTATTAATACAGAGGCTTGAGTTGACCAATTTGAGGGAATTTACTGGAATTATATGTGAAGTAGATACAATATCCACAGAGAATATAACAGATAGGGCCTGTAGTAAAAATAAATGAATATAATATTGCTGAACAAGAAACATATATCTAACATGAGCATACATGACAGATACTAATGTGCTCTAGGTGTTCAGCAGCAGAGAGATCTATTTTGCTGTTAGGTTTATTTGAGCAAAGGTTAGAATTATATTGCCTCCTACTAAGAGCTAAGTAAATCAAATTTCCATCAATAAAGAAAAAGAACAAGAAATATCTTGTTCTTTTCCAAGAATTTTTAATGGAGAAATAATACCAAAAATTTTAATTAATTAATGAATGATGTATCAGCAGGATTGATAAATTCATAATGTGACTTCACTGTCACATATTGTGAATTAAAAAAAAAAAGAGAGAGACTTCATTCTCAGTCACTACTTACTCTTCAGACCAATTTTCCATACTAGAAGTCTAGAAATGAAAAGTCTCTGAACTTGAGGTGTAAATTTTTCCAGTGCTACTGCATTAAGATGTGAGGGCCTAATCATAGAATCATAGAATCATAGAAGCATAGAATGGCTTGGGTCAGAAGGGATCTCAAGGATCACCAAGTTCGAACGGCCATCTGCTGGATCAAACAGCAGCTCAGGCTGCCCAGGGCCCCATCCAACCAGGCCTTGAACGCAGACAGAGGGTGGTCATAAATGGCTCCATGTCCAGGGGGAGGCAGTACAGAATGGCGTCCCACAGGGGTCTGTCTTGGAACTGGTGCTCTTTAGCATCTTTGTCAGTGACATCGATGACGGAATCGAGTGTACCTTCAGAAAAATTGCTGATGACACCAAGCTGAGTGCTGCAGTTGACACGGTTGAAGGAAGGGATGCCATTCAGAGAGACCTTGACAGGCTGGAAAGGTGGGCCTGGGTGAACCTAATGAGGTTCAACACAGCACAGTGCAAGGCTTTGCACTTGGGACGGAGGAATCCCAGGCATCCATACAGACCAGAAGGAGCGGTCCTTGAGAGCAGCCCTGCAGAGAAGGACCTGGGGGTCTTGATGGATGAAAAGCCTAACATGAGTGAGCAGTGTGCTCTTGCGGCTCAGAAGGCAAATGGTATCCTGGGCTCCATCAGAAGAGGGGTGGCCAGCAGGGACAGGGAGGTGATTGTCCCCTCTACTCTGCCCTTGTGAGGCCCCATCTGCAGTACTGCATCCAGATCTGGAGCCCCCAGTACAACAAAGATACGGAGCTGTTGGAGAGGGTCCAGAGGAGAGCCACAAAGATGATTACGGGACTGGAGCACCTCCCCTATGAAGACATGCTGAGGGAGCTGGGCTTGTTTAGCCTGGAGAAAAGAAGGCTGCGGGGTGACCTCATTGCAGCTTTTCAGTACCTAAAGGGAGCCTACAAACAGGAGGGGAATCAACTCTTTGAAAGGGTCGATAACTGCAGGGCAAAATGGTTTTAAATTGAGAGAGGGAAGATTTAGGTTGGATGTCAGGGGAAAGTTCTTTACAGAGAGAGTAGTGAAGTGCTGGAACAGGCTGCCCAGAGAGGTTGTGGATGCCCCGTCCCTGGAGGTGTTCAAGGCCGGATTGGATGGGGCCCTGGGAAGCCTGGTCTGGTATTAAATGTGGAGGTTGGCGGCCCTGCCTGTGGCGGAGGGTTGGAGATTCATGATCCTTGAGGTCCCTTCCAACCCTGGCCATTCTGTGATTTTGTGATTCTGGCTGTAGTGGATCATCATTTGGTACATAAGTGGAAAATGACTATTTAAGGTACACAGGCCATGCCAAAAGTAATGCCTCCAATTTATTTCCATGGAAACTACAACAGATACAGAGAGTATTTGGAAGAAAACAAAACAATGTGCTGCTTTTCTGTTCCTCCCTGGACCTGAGCCTCCTCAGTTTTACTATAATGCTGCCTGGACCTCAGCACCCTACTTGCACATGTGCCCTGATCCTTTGCCCTCCTCATGGTTATGTACAGATGCAGATGAAGAGATGAAAAAGCAATGGAGTCTGACACTTCTATCTCATGCATTGCCTTGGCGTTTCAATTGCTATCTATCTTCATGCTGAGGATCAGCTGTGAATATTTGATACTGGTAGCCAAGGACTGCCTGAATAAGCTGAAAGTTCACAATTCCACAAATGGGTTATCTATATTCAGGTCCCCACTTCACAGTCTGTTTAATTAAATACAAAATTTCTAACAGAACAGAGTAGGAATTAAATATAGAATAAACACAATAAAATAGAATAAAAACTTTTAAGGCTTCTCCTTGGTGAGATGTACAAAACTGTGTGGGATACAGGAGAGTGTAGGAAGTGAGTGAGTAAGTTCATCTCTCATATACCTCAAAATAATTTCCCAGCTACAAGCATGGTGGTTGCCATTTGTATGGCATTCTACTTTAAGATGAATCTCCACCTTGGTTCCATAAATCATCCCCTGAAGTCTGGGGCAAGGACCCTCAGTGATGTCACCAACCCATAGACTGTAACTGTGCAGCCTTTGCTGCATATACTCGGGTGCCAGCAGAGCCCAGCCCAGGTTGGGTCATGTCTGGACGCCTGCTGAGGAGGCTAGAAGGTGAAGCAGAACTTTGCTGGGTGGTGGGTCAAGCTGTGAGGCTATCAACAGTAGATTTTTCTGTCCATCCCACCAGGCTTGCTCATCCCAGTCAAATTTTGGTCAGATACTCAAGTTAGTCTGTTTGCAGGGATGGTTTTAATACCTTTATTCATGAATAAGGAAGGAAACTAATGTGACAACATTTCTGCTAATATAATCTGTTTAAATGAAGATTGAAGTGCAAAGGTAAATGGTAATAATGATGTAATGATTGTAATAAA